CCTCCGAGGTCAATGATTATTACCAGGACGATCATTCGTGGGATGTTGATGTTGGCAAGAAGATTGTTCACAAGCGCCAACACGGCGATGACGTTGACCTGATCGGTGGACCGGAGGGCGTCGACATTGGGAACACATTTTCGCTGCCGATCACTAGCAAGTTCTCCTCCGAGGTCAATGATTATTACCAGGACGATCATTCGTGGGATGTTGATGTTGGCAAGAAGATTGTTCACAAGCGCCAACACGGCGATGACGTTGACTTGATCGGTGGACCGGAGGGCGTCGACATCGGGAACACATTTTCGCTGCCGATCACCAGCAAGTTTTCATCTGAAGTTAATGATTATTACCAGGACGACCACTCTCGTGACATCGACACCGATACCACCATCGTACAACCCCATCACCACAAGGCTCGCGGCCATGGCGAGCAGGTTGACGTGATCGGCGGGGCAGAGGGTGTTGACATTGGCAACTCAGTTGATATCCCTATTAGCAACTCCTTCAAGTCCAAGGTCAACGAGCAGAGCTATGACGATCATTCGGTCGACATTGACATCAGCAAGCATCATGCCCGCCGGGGAGAGGATTTCAGCATTTTGGGAGGCCCATCCGGTGTTGACGTCGGCAACAGCGTGGTTCTACCTTTCACCAACACTGTGGATGTTGAATCCAACAGTTACCACAAGGATGATCACTCCGTGCACGAACAAGTCACGACCACCATTGTCGCGAAGCCTCATGGGCACCCTCAGCCTCCCGCTCACGAGGCTCCTCCTCCGCCCCCACCTCCTGCTCCGGCTCCTGCCCCTGCTCCGGCTCCTGCCCCTGCTCCGGCGCCTGCCCCGGAACCCAAGCATGATCCTGAGCCGGCTCCAGAGCCGAAGCATGACACGCCTGCTCCTGCTCCGGAACCGAAGCACGAGGATCCGGCACCTGCTCCGCCCCCAGCTCCGGCACCTGCTCCGCCCCCAGCTCCAGCTCCTGCCCCTGCTCCGGCTCCTGCCCCTGCTCCGGCGCCTGCACCTGAGCCAGCTCCCGAGCCAGCCCCCGAGCCCAAGCATGAAGCCTCGGCGCCCGCTCCGGAACCCAAGCCTGATCCTGAGCCGGTTCCAGAGCCGAAGCATGACACTCCTGCACCTGCTCCGGAACCCAAGCACGAGGATCCCGCACCTGCTCCGCCCCCAGCTCCAGCTCCTGCCCCTGCTCCGGCTCCTGCCCCTGCTCCGGCGCCTGCACCTGAGCCAGCTCCCGAGCCAGCCCCCGAGCCCAAGCACGATCCTGAGCCGGCTCCAGAACCGAAACATGACACTCCTGCACCTGCTCCGGAACCGAAGCACGAGGATCCGGCGCCTGCTCCCGCGCCCGCTCCGGAGCCAGCACATGAGGAGACTAAGCCGGAGGAACCCAAGGCAGAGCCCCATGTGGACGAACCTCCCAAACAGCCCGAGCCCAAAGCATCGACATCGTGCGAACCCACTGTTCAAGAGGTCGTTCGTACGGTGACACACACCCTGCCCACTGAAACCACAGTTGCCCCCAAGGTTGACGCTGTGGCCACTGAAGCTCCTGCACCTACTCATTCCGCCCTCGCCCCAAGTGAGCCCACCAAGTCTGCTGCGCAGTCTAACCCTACCCACGAGGCCGCGGCCCCAACCAACCCCTTCACTCCCAACCTGGATGAAGCTCACCACGTTCCTGGCTCTGAGCCATCCGCGACGAGTGTTGTGCAGAGTGCGATCACGACTGCTGCTCCGGCCCGCACGGAGCCTGTAGTCATGGACAAGGTAGCTTCCAGCATCACGATTCAACAAGATTCCACTTTCCACGTGATCCCCGTGTACGTGCCACAGTCTTCTGCCACCACTCCCTCGTCGTTCGCCGTTTCCACCGCGGTTACGAGCGTTGTTGGTCCCCACTCCACGGGCGTCGATGCCTATGAACCTACGCTCCGCTACAACCTACCCCCGGCTGCACCGTCGGCATCACCAACCGGTGTTCTGTTCACCGGGGCTGGAGCACCCCAGGCCGCACCATACGCTGGCGTCTTTTCGGTCTTCTCTGGTCTTGTGGCACTCCTGGCCTTGATCCTGTAAGGGTCCGGCCAACCATCTTCTTAAAAATAATGTCTCCATTTCACGCTTCCAACTGAATATGTTCACCGAAAGTTCTGTCACTCGTTGTATCACATACTCGATACCAGTCACTCATTTAGCACAAAGGGAGGGGCATCCCGCATGTTCTGATGTATTTTATTCCACTGTTTTACATTCGTTAGACTTCAACAGGTTCCTATATTGTTCTTGAGAGATTCCTGTAGTAATGTTCTCCATGTTCGTGTGTCTGACTTGTCCGACTGAACTGCGTATTCACAGGCAGCCTGTCAATCCCCACAAGTCTAGTCCCCATTCATCCAAGTGTCAACATGTATCCAATCATCGTCCTACTATATGACTCAATCCAAGGAACTGTTCTGGGCTCGAACACCCACGCCTTAGCAATTTTGAGTCCACGCTTATCACCATCACTATCACCCCTTGCGCATAAATCCCACTAATTTCCTCATTGCCTCCCCGCTTCCGCTTGCCCTTCCGACCTGTACTGTACACTACTTGCTATAAGACAGTACAGTGCCTAATAGTTAGTTACTCTTCACTGACCATGACCTAGTAGTCTTCCCAACAACAATAACAACACCCACCCACACTCCCTACCTTCAGCCTCCATACTCACTCATCACCAACCCTCCAGGACACCTACCACAAAATGCCCCCCCCAAACAAATACGCCATCCGCCCCGCCACCGAACCCGACGCCCCGCACCTCGCGCACATCAACATCACTGCCTTCGAGCCCACCCCCTTCTGGCGCAACCTGTTCCCCGCCCTCGACCGCACCGCCACCTACCCGCTCAAGCTCGCCCGCACCCTCACCAAGCTCGCCGACGGCGCCTCCCACCTCCTCGTCGCCGAGGATGCGTCTACCGGGCAGATCGTCGGCTACGCGCGCTGGACGGTTCCCGGCCCCCCCGCCCACCCAAGCTCCGGTGAACTCTCCCCCGAAAACCAGCACCTCGTCACCACCTTCCGACAGGCCGGGGCCGGGGCCCTTCCCCCCGGCACCAACCTGGCAGTCCACACCCGGTTCTGGGGGGAATTGGAGCGGTTGAAGGCGAAGTATCTGCGGGAGGGGGATTTTGGTGCGTTTTTGCGTTTTTCCCCCCCTTTCCTTCTTCTTCCTTGGTGTTGTTATTCGTAAAGGGTGGGGGATCAGGCTAACTAAAGGGGGGATCGGTGGCAGTCCTCGAATTCCTAGCGACGCTACCCGAAGCACAAGGCCAAGGCGTGGCGTCGGGCTTGCTGCGGTGGGGATTGGAGCGGGCGGATGCGCGGAATGCGCGGGTGTATCTGGAGGCGACGGAGGAAGGGTACCCCGTTTATCGGAAGTATGGGTGGCGGGATCTTGAGGTGTTGGAGTTGGACTTTGCGGAGCTGGGAGGGCGGAGCGAGCGGCAGCGGTGGGTGATGATGATGCGGGAGAGGAGGGATCCTGTGGGGGAGGGGGCGGTGGAGTTGAGGAATTGAAGTCTTGAAGGACTCAGGGGGTGCGATTTGGGGTTTGGATCCTGTATATAGCTTGTTGACCTCGTGTTGAGGTCAAGGGTGGGCGGTAAGTAGACTAGAGAGTTTGGCTCTGGATTAGATCCTATCCAATTCATGAGGTTGGGCAGTTGTCCCGCCAAGAGGAGGTAGGGTCAGTGCTCGCTGTGAATGAGTCATATGGTGTATAAATCTCTTGTAGAGACAGCGAGTACTTATATTCCATTCTTAAGCTGCTTAGATACGTTGGAAGGTATTGTCGTGCAAGACCGATTTACATCTTTCTCTCTCGCCAACCCACCGTCGTTCCCTAAAAGGTCCCACCTCATCTCTCTACCACCAAATCATACACAAAATGTCGAAGCAGTGCTACGCCACAGACTCCCCCTTCGAGGATCTCATCGGCTACTATCGCGCCGTCCGCCACGGCCAACACATCTTCGTCTCCGGCACAACCTCCGTCGATCCCAACCCCTCCACCAAAGGCATCCCGCAGATTCTCTTCCCCGGCGACGCAAAGCAACAGACGCGCGTGGCGCTGCAAGAATGCATCAAAGCCGTCAAAGCCATGGGCGGACGCGGTCCCGAAGACATCGTGCGTGTGAAGATGTTCGTTAGTCGGCAGGAGGACTGTCGCGCCGTGGGGGAGGGATTCAAGGAGATTCTGGGCAAGGAAAATGCTAGCAGTAGCGACACGCCGATTGGAGCAGCTGCGACCATGATTGTGGTGCACAATGGGTTCATCGACCCCGACATGCTGGTCGAGATCGAGGTGGACGCTATTGCGGTGGACTAGTCGATGTCATCGACGAGGGCTGCATCAGATGCATAGAATGTCTGTAGTGTAGGGCTGGGAAACAGGGATCATTGTATCATCATTGGAAGTGTATATACAAGCCTCATGTCGAAATACCGGGCGAAGTTGGATAGAAACCTTGTGACTGTTGTTGTATGGTGCGCCTCATAACATGTACCGGTGCCGGTCGTTTGGTGAAAAGCTCATACTGAGCGACGCCCTGTTCCAGCAGAACCACTAAGCCATCAACGACCACCCATCCTTTCGAGGCCCTGTCGTTCATTGATGTCCGTAGCACCGTTTGATGCTTCCCGTACGCAACCTGTTTTGCATTAGTTTGTGTCTGCAAGGAGGCAAGAACAACTCACATCCACAAAGACTCCGCCCGTGCTACTCTGGAGCCACTGCTCAGGTAACCGCAGAGTTACGGGCGATTGACTGCCAATCTCGAGAGCAGGTAAGCAAGACACGACGATAGTAGGCTGTCGCAGATGTCGGGGCCAAGGCTCATTCGCTGAACATAAAACCCCAATACGAAGGCGAGCAGCCGACTCCGACAACGCAGCCCAGTCACGATAATACTCCGCAAGCCTCTCTGCGTTAGAAACTGTCCTGTTGTAAAGGCAGATATGCTGCACACCCAGCTGCAGGCAAGCATAGATCGCGGCACGGGCCATACCGCCGGCCCCAATAATCAAGGCCGATGTACCGGCACGAATGGCATTGGCTGGGGACAGGTTCTTGTCGATTCCAGCCATGATACCAATATAGTCTGTATTGTATCCTTTGAGCTTTCTGCTGGGCTGTCCAGTCTCTGAGACGCTCTGTTCCAGGACCACAGTATTCACAGCGTGAATGTCCCTTGCCTCTCGGCTTATTTCATCCAGATGAAGAAGGACTTCGGTTTTGTACGGTAGTGAGATTGCGACACCACCATGGTTGGCATCGGCGAGAAGATGGATAACCTCATCGAAGACTCCAGACTGCACGCTACCATACTGATGTGGCAGACCACAAGCAGCGTAGGCGGCATTATGCATTGCTGGAGAGAGGCTTTGCGCCACGTTTTGGCCAAATATCGTGAACCGCTTTCTGGGCCTCAAGTAACAAGCTGTGAGAGCCTGTTCGGCGGACTGCAGCGAGATTCCCTCGCCTTGCATGTGGGGGAGCATCACGGGTGATAGAATGGGGTTCAAGTAAACACTTGCTCTGCCTAAATTTCCCTTGTGGTAGGCAATTATTGGGATTTTAGCCACGTTGGCTAGACTTTGACGTAGTGCGTTACAAGCCAGGTTATCAACCTCAACTGTTGACTCCCCAGTAATACGTAGAACGTCGAAGCCGAACTCTTCAGCTTTCTTGAGTTTCGAAGAAACACCCGTTAACCTCTGCAATGACAATGGGCCCGATATGTGATAGGTAGCAATTGCCTTGACGTAGCCTTTCGTGTCGATTATAGTTCGCAAATGTTCCGGAGAGCTGCCAAGGGAGCATGCGAGAGCATCTGGTACTAGTCTGAGAAGTTGTTTCAGGAGGTTGTGATACTCCACAGGCTCAAGTTGATGTGCATCTGCGATCTCCACGAAGACCGGAACTCTTGCATACATTCGGACAGTAGCCATGTGCTGTGCTAAGCTCTCAGCTAGCTCCGTGGTTCTGTGTCTGGGATAAGTGTCGATTAAGATGGTTAAGGCATCTGCCCCACAGTCCAGCTGTGCGTAGTCCGGATTAGACTCCTCTAGCCAGCTAATAGGAATCTGCAAAGCATGCGTAAAAGCATTGATAAATGGGTTGGCTGAGTACACACTGCAGGTGGCTCGACCGTAAATGCGTTCGAGGAAGGCAATGAAAACTCTTCCGGCCTTCCTAAGTCGCATATGAACAGCTTCTGGAATGCCATCACCACCTGCAGCACTTTGGGTCAGATTGTAAAAATCAAGGTTAGAGCAGGCCTCGAAAAATGCGTTCCCCACTGCGAAAAGATGATGGAACTTTTCTTGATTGATGTTGATAGTTCGTTGCAGATCCGACCGATCTCTCCTGACATATACGACAGGGTGCTCCTGGGCGAATGTGCTTAGTAGCTCTTGCTGTTGGCGGGTGGCCAGCCATCCCAGACCAACAATCACACAGCCGACATGATGTTGTTCCAGGAGTCGTTGAATCAGCTTCAATTCTAGTTCTCGATAAAGCGTTGAACCATGCTGTGCGATGTACTCCTGAGGCGAAATCTGTGTTTCTTGACGGAACACGGTATCAAAGTCAATTAAGCGACGGCGGAGTGCGACAGAGGCGATGATCCCCAGCGTCTTCTTGCCCGCCCCGACAAATCCGACCAGTATGAGGGTTGCATCGGGACTGTACCGTCTGGTGGAGGTCACACTCCCGGGATGTGGCGGGGAGTAGGGAGGAGAAATTCCTGGTGCCATCGTCGGCTAGGAGGGTGCGCGATGGTACTAAGACATTGAATTTTAGTAGTTGGGACAAGCAGAAAGCATATCGAGATCTCCATCTGTCTGTAAGTGAAGTTGGAATCACGGAAATTTGCCATCGCTTAAAGTCACAGCCGATCACATGACGTCCCGGGATCTGAACCAGACGAGACATCTGCGTGCACAATGCAGTCTGTCAAGTTCATGCATTGCAGTCTATAGGTTTCTATGTCATGCCAAATCCCAGATTGTCGAAGAGAAAGCGCATTGGCCGGGCCTGTGACCAATGTCGGCGTCGGAAGTCCAAGTGCGGCGGCGAGCAGCCCGTGTGCTCCATCTGTCAGGCGGCAAACCGGACGTGCACGTATCAAAATAGCAGTCGACGAAGAGGGTTACAATCGGGATATGTGAGGAGCTTGGAGGTCGCGCTCGGGATTATCCTCGACCGAGTCCCTAATAGTGAGAGCACGCTGCAGCGTATCGTCCAAGGTGCTCGGGAGGGTAAGCGTTTCGCTTGCAGTGAGTTGGCCGACCGTTGGAGGAGGTCAAAGCTCGCCAAAGAAGTTATTCACTTGAGTCAAGCAGAGGCTGCAGATGATGCAGGCGATATTGACTTGGATGATGGGCTGGGAGAGGATCTTATTGAGAATTGCCTGGGTGAAGGAGAAGAAGGAGAGCAGATGGAGATGGAAAGGGAAGTTCCCAGAGACAGCGGGAGAGAAGAACAACAACAACAGCGGGAAGACACTCCACCACAACAGATCCCGGTATCACTGGATCTGCCACTTCCAGATAACACACCTGAGTTAGTGGATTCCTACTTCCTTCACACCCATTGCTGGTTTCCGATAGTCGAACGCAGAGACATCCTGCGCGTTATGCATACCCACTCGGGCTCACCAAGAGACTCTGCGTGTCGTCTCGTGCTCTGGGCCATTATTGCCTACACATCTACCATGAGCCGATCGCTCCGCTCGAAAATACAGCAGTCGATTCAAACGCGACTCATCGGGAACTATGAGACGACAGAACTGAGCCACATCCAAGCCCTCCTCATCCTCGTCCTCCTACATCTTGACCGGGGAGATCTCGGTCAGGCGTGGGTGCTTGTCGGACACACGACTCGATTACTAGCCATCTTGCCCGAGCCAGCGCGGACTCACCGTTACAAGCATGCCTTCGTTGGCTGTACCTTTCTTGACGGGATCATATCGGCTCTGGTCCACAAATCACCAGCTTTACTCGGACCAGAACACCAGGTCTGTGCACAGGTTGACGAGGATGACGTGGATGAATGGGACACTTGGACCATGACGAGACGAGTCCAGGGTTCGGAAACGCAACTCAATTTGAAGAGCCCTCTTCGTGCTCTAAGCACTTTCAACATGATCCACAAGTTCATGCGAATCCTCAATCGCCTGCCGCTGTGCACCTCGGGCGTCATCTCTGCACATGAGGTCTTTGTAGACTTGCAACGCTTACAGAAGCAGATATCCGAGCAACGCCCATACAAGAGCCGGGAATACGCTACGCCCCCTCTACTGACCCTTCATCTCACTTCGTATTTCGCCCTGTTACACCTGGTCGAGCAGTGCAAGCTGGTGGATGCTTCCGCAGCCTCAGAGACGGCTCGGAACGTGCGCACGATGGTCAACCTGCTTGATGACTACGTGGAAATTACCGACAATGCCAGCTCAACTCCACTGCTTCGTTGCTTCACATTACAGGCCAGAAAGTCTTTGGAGACCTCATCCCGATGCTTCGGAGGTGAAGAAGCGAAACTTCTGACGGACCGAGTTTCTCGTCATGTGGACATGCTGAAGCTCGAAGATGCCGCCGGCGCCCGCCAGGCCTCGGAGGTACCACTGTTCAGACACCGAGTAACAGGCAGTTTGTCTGGTCCTCCTCTCGATACCCCCGCCTGGCAAGTGCCAGGCTCAGAAGTAGAACGTAGTGATATGGTGGTTGCACCAGTCATACCCCAGATTCCAACGTCCGCTTGGAATCTTTCTGGAGCTTTGGCGACCCAACCAGTGCAGACACAGGAAACCGAGGATTTTGATGCATTGTTCGAAGAGATCATGACGTCGATCCCAGCCAGCAGGTGTGTCCTTTGCAACCACACTGTATTGTTTGACCACTAACAGATCTGTTAGACACGAACCCACATTCGCGGAAAACCTGGGCTTCTATGCGGGCAACATGGACACAGACTTCCTCGAGCAGCTTCAGTATATACCCGAGGATACCTGACTGGCAGAGTAACTGGCAGAGAGCAGTCATTCATTTGCGATCATTGAGTCCTAAGGATCGCTTTATCCAAATGTACAACACATGAGTCAGACCAAAAAGGCGATACAAGCTCCGGGCAAAACAATTACTCCCAACTCATCTCCTTCCCATCCAGCCACTCCTTGGCCTGCCAATACAACAAATCATGCTTCCGCCCATTCACACTGTCCCCTTCTCTGCGATGGCCCGGCAGATCAAGCAGCACCTTCACCCCCATCGTCTGCTCCTGCAGATACGCCAGATGGCGATAACCCGGCGGATACGCGCGCAGCCGCTCGTGATCCAACACCGGCACGCGATCCGGCGTCACGGGGATCAGTTTATCCTTCTCGTACCAATGCCGGACAAAGACGGCGCGCCACTGGCCGCTCAACTCCGGGTGATCGGGGTCGTCGGCCTGCACTTTTTGCCAGAAGAAGATAAAGCGGCAGTCGCTCTCGGCGTCGGCCTCACACACGCCGCCCGCGTGGCAGGGCAGCCCGGCGAAGCGCTGCGTGATGGTCGCCTTCATCTTGGTGACGGCGCGGGTGGCCGCGGGGTCGATATCGGTGGTGCTGCCGTGGATGCGGTGCATGATGAAGGCGCCGTTGTCCATGCCGGCCTGCGAGGCCTCGATGAAGGCCCGGTGGTGGGTCAGCCCCGTCCAGGTTGTGTAGATGTGGGCGTCCGGGTGGAAGATGGAGCGCAGGTTCTCCCACTCGCAGGCGTCGCGGTAGCAGGGCCAGCCCTCGGCGAGCTCGCGGAGCATGTATCGCTCCAGGGCGAGGTCGCGGGGCCCGTTGTTGCGGATGGCATGTTCCGGGCGCGAACCGGCGGGGAGGGAGTGTAGGTCTGGCATTGTGTGTATGTGTATTGCAACCGGCGTTCTATTCTGATGTAACAGGTTCTGGGACTTGTATGCATGAAGAGAGTGCGGGGAAAGCCGCGGGGGTGCAGTAGACGTTTTTAAAGTTCGGAAATCCCCATGCCGTCGCTGGCCATCGGGAGAGACCCTTCCCGTGTGCGGGTATACTCATCCCCGACACGAGAGCCATTTAAGCCTGCCACTGACAATACATACCGCATCCGACGAACCCACCACAAAGTTACTATACTATCATCAATCCTCACCCTCAATTTATCTTCCCATCCTCACTCCCATCACATACAAAAATGGACCCCCAACCTCAACCCTCGCCCAACAAATCCTCCTACCTCGTGGGCATAGGCGTAACCCACTCCATCGCACCTCCCATGCACAACCACATCTTCCGCGCCCTGGGCCACTCGGACTGGCACTTCCAGGCCCGCGAGTGCGCCACCGTGGAGGAGGCGATGGCGCTCTTCCGGGCGCCGACCTTCAGCGGCGGCGCCGTGGTCACCATGCCCTACAAGCGGACGATCATGGCGCACCTGGACGGACTGGACGAGCCCGCCGTGACGCTGGGCGCGTGCAACAATGTCTACCGCGCCGCGGACGGCGCCCTTCGCGGCACCAACACCGACTGGCGCGGGGTCCTGGGTTGCCTGGAGGGGGCCAGCGCGTCCGGCAGGGGGAAGCCGGCGGCGATCATTGGGGCGGGTGGCGCCTCTCGCGCGGCGGTGTATGCGCTCCATGCTGAATTGAAATGTTCCACGATTTACATCGTCAACCGAGATGCAGGTGAAGTGAGGGAGCTGGCGGACGAGTGTCAGAGGGTGTACGGCGGGAGATTAGAGCTCGTGCATGTGACGCAGGTGGAGCAGGTGGCTGCGCTGCCGGAGCGGCCGTTCTATGTGGTTGGCACGGTGCCGGATGCGGAGCCGACTACCCCCGAGGAAGTCGAGGTACATGCGATCGTGGAGGCGTTCCTGGCTTCTGCTCCGGCATCTACATCTACCTCCGTAGAGGGGGAAGGGAAAGGTGTGCTGCTGGATATGTGCTTCAAGCCGCGGCGGACGCGGTTCCTGAAGGCGGCGGAACGGCATGGGTGGATGACGGTGGAGGGCACGGAGATCATCGGCCATCAGATCCAGGAGCAGTACCGGCTGTGGTGCGGGGAGGAGGCGAGTCGCAATCTCCCGGTGGAGGAGGCGTGGGCGGTGCTGCGGCGGGCGGCGGAGGAGAGTCCGGCTATCAATTTTTGATGCTGATCGGGTGTGGATATAGCCGTGGTGGTTGGGATCGGGTACTTAGTCGTAGTCGACGTATATAGTCCCCAAAGTATTCAATCCCTTCTGGGTACCAATTGACCGTACGAATCTCTCCAACCTACCATTTCAACTAATAAATTCCACAACCACCCACCATGCCTTGCACCCCCGCCATCGCCTCCATGTCCGTCGGCCGCGCCTGGGTGCACCGCCTCCCCGAGAAACTCGCCCAAATCGCGGCAGCCGGCTTCCAGGGCGTCGAGATCTTCTACGAGGACCTGGAATACCTCGCGCGGGAGCAAGCCCAGGCCGCCGTAACCGAACCCACCCTCCTGGCAGCCGCCCGCACCACCAAAACTCTCTGCGACAACCTCCACCTGCAGATCATCGGCCTCCAGCCCTTCCTCTTCTACGAGGGTCTCGTCGACCGCGCCGAGCACGCCCAGCGAATCACCAAGCTACGCACCTGGTTCACACTCGCGCACACCCTGGGCACCGACCTCATCCAGATCCCATCCAACTTCCAGCCCACGGGTACCACGGGCGATCTGGACTTAATCGTGGCAGACATGCGCGAGATCGCGGAGCTGGGCCTCCAGGAACGGCCCGTGGTGCGGTTCGCGTACGAGAACCTGGCGTGGGCGACCCACGTCTCCAGCTGGGAGACGCTGTGGGAGGTGGTGCGGCGCGTGGACCGGCCGAATTTCGGGTGTTGTTTGGATACCTTCAACATCGCGGGCAAGGTGTGGGCGGATCCGATGGCGACCTCCGGCAAGGTGGCGGGCGATGCGGATGGGATTCTGGCCGAGTCGTTGGCGCGGTTGGTGCGGACGATTGATGTCGGGAAAGTGTTTTATGTGCAGGTCGTTGATGCGGAGAGGATGAGGCAGCCGCTCGTCGAGGGGCATCCGTTTCATGTGGAGGGTCAGCCGGCGAGGATGAGCTGGAGTCGGAATGCGAGGTTGTTTTTGTATGAGCAAGAGAGGGGCGGGTATCTGCCTGTTGTGGAGGTGGCGAGGGCGTTTTTGAAAGAACTGAGGTTTGAAGGGTGGGTGTCGATGGAGCTGTTCTCGCGCTCGATGGCGGAGGCGGATCCTGCTGTGCCGCGCGAGCATGCCCGGAGGGGGATGAGGGCGTGGGAGCTGTTGGTGGAGGAGTTGGGCTTGTAGGATAGTATTCCCTTGGATGTTTGGTACGGTGTACTGTTGTACAAATTTATTCGGTTTTGATTCCTTTCTAAAGTATAAATACTACCTCTCTATACACTCCCCGCAGGACTCCCGATACTCCCCCGCATCACCTCCACAGGGGCCTCCCTCCCCGTCCACAGGGAATACTGCACAAACCCCTGCCTCAACAACACCTCCAGCCCATCCTGCACCTCCCACCCTGCCTGCGTCCCCGCGCGCATCAACCCTGTCACCCGGGGCTTGTACGCCATCTCCACCACCAACCCGTGCTCTCGTTCCGCGAACAGCCCCTCTACATCCGTCTCAATGACCACATCCCCCGGCACCGTCCCAATCACGACATCCGGTTTCAACTCTGCCACCGCAGGAATCGGGTACTCCATGGCCACAATCTCGCATGTTGAACCATTGGGCCCCGCTAACCCCTCGAAATCCCGAACAATCGTGCCCGCCTTCCCGACCGTCCGGTTGGCGACAACAATCCGGGCGAAGTTCGCCTGCAGGAGAGCGTAGACTGCTGCACGAGCGGCGCCGCCTGCCCCGAGGACGAGGCCTGTTTTTCCCGTGGTTGTGCCTCCGGCTTTGACTTCATCGCCACGACTGGGACAAGCACCCCGGCCAGCAAAGTACTCCACCACGAGCTCGTACAGCCCCCGCCAGTCGGTATTGTCGCCGGTGATGACGCGTTGCCCATCCCGCGTCTCCGCGATGAGCGTGTTGATCGCCCCGATCTGTCGCGCGGCGTCGCTGACCGCATCGCACAGCGGAAAGGCTGTCAGCTTGTGCGGCATGGTGACGCTGGCGCCGCCGAAGGTGGGGGCATCTATTAGGTGTTGCACGGCGACGAGGGAGGGGCATTCTTGGATGGTGTAGTGGTGGGGGAGGCGGTGGTGGGCGAAGGCGGCGTTGTGGAGGGTCGGGGAGAGGCTGGTGGCGAGGGTTTGGCCGAAGATGTGGTAGGTTTTGGGAGTGGTCATTTTGGGGAGGATGGATACCAAGTCAGAGAGATAGATGATCAAGGTTGATAAGTTACCGCTGGAGAAGTGCGAAGCTGTTGGGATGGCATGCGGTGTGGTGATGTAAATGGGAAAGATTTATAGTACAGAACGGGTAAAGTAGATAGCCGGGCGGGTACGAATGGGGGAAAGGGAACCTTGAACCTGAAGTAAGTATACTTCGAGCAACGGACTCCAGTCCAGCTCTCCATCTAGTTCACCATCCCACCTTCAAGTGCCACACAATTCATCCCCTCCTCCACAACCGTCCTCCACGGCCCAGCTCTCTCCCCCGCCTGCCCCCGGGGAACCACCTCGACGATTGCGCGCAAGTGATTCACGACCTTCTGCACCTCCTCCTGCAACGGACTCCGCCACCTCATCTCCGCCAGCACCCACTCCGCCCCCTTCTCCCGCCTCACCACCTCCTCAAACACCGCCTCTAACCGGTTCCGCTCCGCCTTATTCTCCTCCCCCTCCCGCCCATTCCACAGAAACGCCCGCACCGGATTCCACCGCGGCGCCGCCACCACCCCGCTGAACTCCCAGTCCAGCACCGCGGTAATCGGACACCCCGGCTGCGTCGGATCGCACATGATATTCGCGCAGTGCAGGTCCTTGTGCGCGAGGACATACGGGACCTCGTTCAGCCGGGCCGCATACTCGGGCCGCTGTATCGCCTCCCTGAAGGCGCGGATGCGGCGGACCAGATCCCGGTAGGGTTCCAGGGCGGGGTGGATCTCGATGGCGTGGTGGTACCGGTCCAGACAGCTGACGGTGAACGCCACGTAGTCCGTGAATCCCTCGGGGGGGATGGGGTTGAGGATCTCCAGACTGATCGTCTTCTCCTCGGGTCCAGTTACAGGGATAGTGGACGTAGACCAGTATTTCTCCAGGTCGGGCATCTGCCAGTAGGTTTCGTCGATGGGCGGACCCCGCGCGACTTCGCCGGACGCGGAGAGGGTGAGACCCCCCACGTATCCGTCCGTCCAGGGGTGGTTATGCAGTTCGATGAGGTAGTCGGCGAGCTGGCGGACCAGTTGGGTTTTGGTCGCCTCGGATAAGGTCGGGTAGATCGTGTCAAGGCTAACGCCGGAGGCCTTTTCGAGGAGAGTGAATTCGTGGCCGATCGGGTTGGTCTCGGTGGCGTCGTAGTGGAGGATGGCGGGCACGGGGATGGAGGTGTGTGTCCGGACCCAGGTCATGACGCCGACTTCGTTGAGGGTTTTGATGCGCGGGAGTTGGCGTCCGGAGACGCGGAGGACGAGCGTCGTGCTGCCATCCGGGTTGGGGCGGGCGGGAATCTTCGTGGTGGGTGATGCGGCGAAGGTGATGAGATAGATCGAGTGAAACGCGGCTCTTACTTCGAGGGGGGTGATGCTGGTGGGGGTGGGGAGGGAAAGGGAGAGGATCAATGCGGTGATGCTTTCCGCGCTCAGCGCCGGAGGGAGGTAGCTGTCGGCGGTGCTCATGTCCAAGAGTTGTGCTTGCCGAAGGAATTGTGTTGGAGAAGTTGTATTTTTGCTTGACGAAAAAGCGATGATGGAGAAGATGGGTTGTGATTGAGAAAGAGATGCTGATAAAATTCGAGGTAAGCAGCGCAAAGGTGGGATATTTATCGTCGTCAGACGAGGCTATATTCGGTGATTATCCAGTACGTATCTCATAGCCTCGCCAGCTTGGATCGAAGCAATTTACTACCAAGCCTGATCTGGCTGGGATATTACATCGCCTGCCAGGTGCGTACCATTGGCCAAGCATTGGAACTAAAGCAGTAAGCTTACGCTGAGAAGTCCTATCTATACTTAGAATGGATAAAAGCACATGGCTCATATCGACTCATGTGTTATCATCTCATCGACCCATGCTTATCAGCGGTCATCTTCCTACTCCGCTGTCGGTCCGATCCGCAGGGCTTGGCCGTTCACGTGCTGTTTACCTGGTTGACAGTGTAGAATCGCTCAGCGGCTCCATTGAGGTTTCAATGCCTTACGTGTAAATTGATTGACTGACCTTCCTTCCTCGGAGATATAGTCAGTCGAAGCTGAACTTACAAACGTTTTCTTGGCACCCCACGGAGCCACAGAGCATCTAGTGCGTGAGACAGCGCGCTTATACCCTTGTCTCGACAGCCAGATCCAGTGATCAGAATAACCATAATAACTCATCTTGATTGAATTGGGAAGTGCCTCACCATACAACTACACTAAGAGTCGAGAAGAGATGGAACTGGTTGGCCCACCAAGAATGACCTCAAACTCAACCCCACCCCGGCGCCAAGGTCAGCGCTTATACGTCAGTCTCATCACCGACCAGCCCTCCTGTCTCATTGTTATTAGTATAAGAATGATCTTCGTTCAACACTCAATAGTGATTATTATGGCTCTCAAGTATATAAAATCCACATGTAAGAAGCACAGTACAACACAATGTCCAACGTAGAATCTACCAAGTCCCTCCGTCTTCTGTCTCTTGGTAAGCCCAACCCTACCACCACACTAACCATTCCACCCTCCTTGAACCCCCTCCTGAGCCAAAGCTAAACCCCAAGTAAAAAGACGGCGGCGGCATCACAGCCCTCAGCCAACTCACAATCCTCAAGTCAATCACCCTCGCCATCCAGCAACAGCACGCCCTCCCCGAACCGCCTCGACTCCACGAGCTCTTCGACCTCATCGGCGGCAGCGGTCATGGCGGCCTCCTGGCGCTGCTCCTGGGCCGCCTCCGCCTCACCATCGACGAGACCCTCACCGAGTACCGCCAGCTCGTGGAGCGGGTGTTCTCCCATCGGAAACGCCACCGGGGCGGGAACGGGCGATACAGCGCCCGCGAGATGGAGGCAGCGATCAAGGATCTCGTGTGTCGGTACACGACTCCTTCGGATCAGGATCCGGAGAGGGCATTATTTCTCGAGGAGAACGAGAATCGCGCCGAGAGGGAGGGGGAAGCTGAGGTGGGCTGTAAAGTGTAAGTTGTCTTGCCCGTCTATCCTCCTAAGGAATTTTCCTGGAAAAGAAACTTATGCTATCCAGCTTTGTCTGCGTACGCAGCACCCAAGCGATGGAATACGCGCGCCTGTTCTGCTCGTATCGCAGTTACCGAGCGGGCGACAACCCGGACCTCACGGTCTGGCAGGCGGCGCGGGCGGTGACGGCGCATCCGGCGCTGTTCAAGCCCGTGAGGGTCGGGGTGGAAGACTTTGTGGATGGGAGTCTCGGCACGAAGAATCCATGTCGCCTGCTGCTCGACGAGGCGAGGCGGCTGTTTGACGAGCGGCGGCCGGTGGGTTGCGTGGTGAGTCTCGGGGCCGGGAAGCCTCCGCCGGTGCAGCTGGGTCGGCCGGGGCTCTTCCAGCGGCTTCTGCCGACGAAGATTGTCGCGGTGGTGGAGGCGCTGAGCTTCGAGGCTGAGACCGTCGCACGGGACCTAGAGAAGAGGTTTCAAAGGTCGCCGGACGTGTATTTCCGCTTCAATGTCGGGGAGAGGGTTGCGAGCGTGGGGATGTCGGACTGGGAGAGGTTGAGTGAGGTGGAGAGTAAGACGGTCGAGTATCTGGCTGCGTTTGAGGTGGAGAATGCAGTGTTACGGGCTGCGGAGGCATTGTATGGCAAGGAAATGGAGGAAGGTACAGATAGGGTGATGACAGTGTTTGATTTGTGAAGGTAGACGCTGTAACTAAGGTTTGATGCTCATATGTAATGCTAGCTAGCAACAACATCAAGACGATTGTGAACCAAGAAAACAATCCCCGCATGGTAAGGTCAACCCTTGCAGACACTTAATCCGCCTTCTTCGGCTGACGGATCATACAATACAGCTACACAGAATAAGTTAGCCTCTACCTGCACAAGACCCAGAGCCGAAAAAGAAGCACAGACCTTGCAAGCATCCTTCCCATCAAGACAATCAATCTCCTCTACCAACTCGAAGCCCAACTTCTCATAGATGACCAGGTTGGGGAACCCCTTGGAACTCTCCAGGTAGCAGGGCATGCCCTCGAGATCAGCCTTCTGGGTGACTGCCTCGACCAGCTTGCGGCCGACGCCCATGCCGCGCATCGCCGAGTTGACGGCCAGCACGTTGCAGAAGTAGTAGCCGCGGGGGTCGGTCCAGATGCGGGCGTGGGTGCGCTCCTGCCGCTGCTTCCACTGCCAGTACCGCCGAACGTTGAGCCCGCCGCGCCCGCCGAAGCGGATGTTGAACAGCAGCTGGCGGAAGGAGAGGAGCCAGTCCTGCGCCCACACCGTCCACGTCACGGGCTCGTCCGCCGGTTGCGGCGGGAACCACCAGCACACGCCGGCGATGGCGTTTCCGTTACCGTTGTTGTCGTTGTGGTCGTCGCTCGAGAGCAAGGCGGCCTTGTCGTCGTCGGTGGCACTCGTCGGGGAGGTCGCTTTGGCGATGTAGATGGGCGCTTGGCAGGAGAGTCCGTATTGGAAATGGGCGGCCATTGAGGCGGCATTGCGGTGGAGATTGAACTGGGTGGGTTTTCGCGTGTTATTGATGGGTATTGGGTAAGAATGGGAAATGGGCGTGGCTCTACATGTATCTTTATCATACATCATTCGGAGGGAAAGGGATGAGGTAGCGATGGGGGAGGGGGGGTTATCGCTGCCTCGACTCCCTCTCTTCTCCGAATGGAGACATACTTACCCCAGATCTCTTGTTGAATACCCAGCGGAAGAATGGATCATCGGCAAATGCTTTCTGGATGCATTCTACGGCCGCGGGGATATCCGCTTTAGTAAGAGGGAGGACCTCGATTGCCATGATGATGTTGACGTTGATGAAGAAGATATCAAGAACAGAACGTAGGTCAATGGGATTCTCAATTCAATTCCTACTGTGTCTGCGAATAGGTTGCGAGAGGGCAATGGTGTATGCGTGAGAATGGCGGCGGAGGGGAATAAGCGAGATCGCCATCTATTGATGGGAGTCGACCGGACTGACAAGAGTAGAGGAAAAAGAGCAGTGAGAGAGAGAGGGGAGGGAGAATTGAGGTGATACTGAGAGACGACCAAAACAGATGAGACTGGGTTCTTGAAATGGTTGCAGGGTGAATTGTGAGAGGGTGAGAGGAGAGAGGAAGATGGTGAATGGATGAGGGCAGAGTGAAAGACTTATACCGACGCCATCGTTTGCTCAGATTCCGGACCATAGCACGGTGGACGGAGTACCGACCCTGAATAACCCCCAGTAACCCCCAGTACATCCCCGTCTGTAAGCCCGGCCCTGCCCATTCGTCCCAATCAGGCAAGTCCTACTCCGCCGCCCGTGACGTCCAAGACTATCCCGCTTTCAGGAGTTCGACGCGTAGGCGGGACCAGGGTCACGGGACTCATCTAGGCCCTTGAACCAATCATGCGCTGCAGATCGACCTCGTTTGGTCATTGCCCAGCCGGCTAGGCAATTTCCGGCAGGTTGTGCCGGGGTTATCATGCTTCCTACTGAGCCTATCAGCTGCGGTCGATACAGCAGGGCTTATCGTGGCCCAAAGATTGCAGAAACATTGATCGATGATGCATTGCTTCCACTTCTTTATTGGACACGTCGACGCCAGATCTTACCTATACGAGAATCCTTGACTTCAGGGGCTGCAAGTTGTTACCGATGAGGAGTGACGAAAGTCCATTTGACTTACGGTACTCCGTACTTCCCTCTCCCAGGCTGGCTTCGGCATTTCCCACCACTCTCCATGTCCTTTCCAGAGTCGCATCATCCTGATCATTTGTTCCATCTTCTTTTCGAATTGCTCCGGCTCTGGCCGCTTCAAAACCTGCGTCTGTCGTCCTCGTGCATTGGTGCTGCATGCCGCCTAAGCATATTTTGGGTTTTTGTGTCGGGTGGATGATAGATTTCCAGGAATTCCTCGTACCACGAATGATCTCATAACGGCCGGACTCGTGACAGAAGTGGTGTTTCGGGACCGAGAGTCAATGAGAAGACCTGGCACACAGCATAGTTTCCATTCTTTCGAAGTACCGTAGGTCATTCCCATTTGAGTCAACGGAACCTCTTCGCTTAAAACCACCAGCAACGTTAAAAGCACAGAGATGCGGAATATGCTCACCGCTCGACGAGCGCCAAGAAAATCACCTTCAATTCTCAGACATAAGCTCCTTACAGACATTGTGTGTGGAGTCAGAGCTGCGCTTCAGATGATGGAAGTGTATGAAATGGATCTCTTTGAGAGGGAGCCAAGCACGATTCCGAAGTAGGTAGTTAGGCACTACCGACTTTTTGTTCATCTTCTTCTGAAGCAATCGAGTCTCACAGCTCCTTGCACGTTAGTCGCCTCACCAACACATGCATACCCATGAAGGCGGATCCCCTTCATCCTGAACATTATAGCGTCAGACATGGGATCAGACCGACATTTGGCTACGTAATGCCGAGACTTTCCGCGAACAGCCTCGACGGAGCCAATCAATCCAGCATTTATCATGAAGAGGCACTTCTCCTCACGTAATGACAATGACTTTTTCGAGGACACAGGTTCTCTCTCCATACCTTTGGCTCTGACCCTGAATTTTTTTGTGGTCGGTTTTCAGAGACTATACTTCACTATCACTGTCAGAGTCGAATCAACCAAAGGTTATATTAGATTTCGGTTCGGGCGAAATCTGCGATCCAGTTCATTCGACCGATCCCCGAAAGGTAGCCCGATAAGCTTAACATCACCACGTAAGAGATCGAGGGTGGAGCATCTCTAACGTATCATCTTCTGTGACTGATTATCAATCTGTATATTTCTCTCCGGAATTTTGTGGTTTGACGGAAGCTATAATACTGACTCTAATTAAGTCCATTCAGTCAAAAGGTCCCTTGATAGTGGTCCTGCGGGACCCGTTCGTGAGGTGATCTTGGAGTTCGGACACGGCTAGCGGGCCGGATGCCCCCACTTCTTCCACCAGATCGTGATCGGAGTCGAGTGGAGTAGACGTAAGAAGTAGATGAACGGAGGTGGTGTGGGACCAGGAGGAGACACAAATGAGAATGTGAAGGTTGAAGCCCTAGCCTCAGGGAAGTGAACAGAGACTCGAGAAAAGAGAGTTGGGCCCCATGACTCGGATACAATACTCCGTCCCAAACCGGAAGGACCCTTCCCTGCCCGCGTTCCGGTAGCTGCTCCCCAAGTATTCAAGGCTCCAAGTTGCCTTGAGTTCTCCGGGCTCTGAACGCCATGCTGTGCACAGTATGCCATTGGCACGACACTAGACGTGAGCCCACGATTCGACAATTCTGCTCCTATGCGACCTGTGAGTTATCAGACTTGCCAGAGTCGGTGGATCTGTGAACATTGTAGTGTTCAAGGGGGGAACCTCGATGCGCACGCTATTCATAGCCGGTGTGAGGGCGTTGATGGACTTGAATGTCAGCACTGTGAACTTTTGCGGATTAGTTGATTTCACAACCATTTGGAGATATTGTGTCTGACGAGGAGGCTCTATCTCTTGAGAGCCAGTCAGCGCAGTGCACCTCTTGGACAACTCGACGGCATGTCCGCTCGCAAGTAGGGGACGGGTTGCTCCAGCGCCATCAGCGAAGTGGAAAGTTGCCATGCGATGGGGTAACCAGTGCTGCGCAATATGAGTCAATCACACGGAGGCGAAGGACTATAGCCCGTGTAGGATTTCTTCATGGTTTAGAAAAACATGACGATGGCCGGATTGAGGTTGCACTTCTGATACCCTCTGAAGACACGATGAACCAAACAACCAATTGGGCCATCCAACACCGGAAGGTTCTTGCAGGTCTTCAGTGGGAATGCTCAAGCCCCCAGAAAATCAATCAGGGGGTGCAACTAACCTAGAGAAGGCTGCACAATTAAGCATTTCCTCTAATTTCGCGAGCGCATGGACGAGAATGGCTGGAGCCGGATACTTTTGTTTCCGGTGCAATTCTAGGCAAAAGGATCAGAATGCACATGCTCAGTGATGCACTGTATGCTCGGCGACACCCGGGAGGTATATCGCGCCATCATATTCCGTAGTATCCGGACCTGTACCCCCTTTGACATCGCGGCTGGACGGCATGGAAGAACTGCATGTTGAAGTGGGGAAAAAAAAAGATGGGAAAAAGAAAGAGAAAGAAAATAATTCTAATCTGGTGTGCTCTCTCCAGACCTGGAAAGGAGGTTCTCCTGGAGACAGGCAGACCGATGCGATGCGATATAGTAGTGTAGCGGTGCAGCGAGACCAGTACCCATAGAATGTGAGCACAGGACAACACGAAACAAAGTGCTACATTTACGATGCCCGAGAGCTGTGCAGAGTGAGTTGATGCCAAGGTAATCTTCCTACGCTGTCTTCGGAAGTGTAATAGTCTCCGGATTTCTCTACTGAGTGCATGATAGAGACGAGAACTAACACTATCTTCTCGAGGCGTGGCTGGCGTGGGATATAGGTACGGCAATGAAATCTATGAGCTAGCGAGCGTAGGGCTTTGTCAACCGCTGACAAGTAGAGGATGATTATAATGCTATGGCGCGATCAATCGAGCTCCTGGCCTAGAGGCAAGCTGCATCCACCGTAGGTACAGCGAACTACCAGTATGTGGTCTCAACCATGAGGGAGCTTGCAATAGTAAGCATTCGATGATACATGGGAAGAAGTTCTTAACCGCAGCACGACTTGCATTTCTCGAGGCAAGCATGACAGAGGAATTAGGTCTGGGCTTCGGCTGCAACTGCAGCGATCTAAAAAGCTCTGTTCAATTCCATTCAAGCCGTAATGAGATTCATTGGGGAGAGTATCCGAGCCGTCCGCATCAGCAAACCTTGTAGTACCATCTCGACAGGGGTCTTCCGCCTTATATGTCGAATGAAGCCGGATGAAATCTGTAAGCTCGACAGCATTGAGCATAAAACCTGTCACCCGGAGGTATCTGGTTAAACAGCTTATCTGCCGTAGTGGTTCGTTTAGAGTCGGGAGGAGGATCAAATCGAAAGAGTGACTGACACCGGCAAGATATCGGCAACCATCCGAGGTATTTTCTGCTGCGTTGCCGGCATAGAGTCAAGATTCTGGCATTACAGCCAGTGGATGGTTGTGGCTATCTGGTGGCTATCTGGATCATGCGCTTTAGAGACTTGGGCAAAAATCACAGCTACCTAGGCAGCACTACCCGCAAATATTACAGTGACGAGAAGTTGTAGTAAAGTATAGATTCTTGAACAGTAGGAAATACTATACGACAAACAGTAGGTTATCCCGAACGATTCGATCGTCATCTTGAGCGAGTATACTCTGGTAGACTATGCCAGCACAGCCTAAAAACAGCAACATGTTGTTGCCACCCGGGGGGGGCACAGCCACAGGAGAGGTCCACCTTTCTATTTGTAGCTGATCGTCGTGCCTTTGAGATGACGACGAGAACTGATGAAGCCGGACGCGATAAAGACTCACCCGATCTCGGAGCAGGGTTCTTGTCAGCCCCTCCCCCGCCAATTGATTCCCATCCCCAATGCCGGCAGTCGAGTGATCCCGGGGGGAATAGCAGGGCGTGGCAGTTTTGTTGAAGTTCCCAATTCATCCGGCCCTGCACCGGCCCGGTCGGTGGCTGGCAGTGGGAGTGAGCGGTGGCACCGCCTCGATGATTGCCCGTTTCAGTAGTTTGAAAGGGTTAGGGCCAGAAGCATCACGCGTCAGACAACCTGTTTTGGTTGGTAGGGCGGAGTGAGGTTTGCCGGGCGGTGTGAGTTTCCCGGGCCAGACCTCCGCCTGACCACGTGCCGCTTAGCCTGATTGAGGAAAGAAAGGCAAACGCGCGCGCGCACCCGCCCCGCCCCGCGCCGGAAACACGACTCATTTCCTCCTCTTCACCGAGTCATCGCCGAACTCGGTCGCAGACTCCCGATTGTTTGTTTGTGGTTGCCACAAGTCTGCGTTCTTATGATGAGTGTCCAGTTGAGGAGTCATCAGAGATTGGATTTTGCATGCTTTAGTGATTGTGATAGACAAAGCCATCCGAGGTGGTTAGGATTGTTTCACTCCTCACCGGACAGCCGC